TGCTGAAGAGCAAGTGTGGAAGAGCAAAGATGTCAGCTTGAAGACTAAGGTGCACCTGACCCACACCATGGTATTTTCAATAACCTCATATGGATGTAAAAGCTGGACAATGAATAAGAAGACCGTAAAAGAATTGACACTTTTGAATTATGGTATTGGAGGAGAATATTGAAAGTGCCATGGGCTGCCAAAAGAACAAACAGATCTGTGTTGGAAGAAGCGCAGCCAGAGTGCACCTTAGAGGCCAGGATGGCCAAACTTCGTCTCTCATGCTTCGGACATATTGTTAGGAAGGAGCAGTCGCTGGAGAAGGATATCATGTTTGGTAAGGTGGAGAGGGTCAGAGAAAAAGAGGAAAACCCCCAGAGAGATGAAATGGTAAAGTGGCAGCATCAATGGGCTCAAGAGTGGCAACAATTGTGAGGTGTTTTGTTCTGTTGTGCATAGGGTTGCTATGAGTCGGTACCGACTCAATGGCACCTAACAACGACATTAGAACTAGGGTACATCTAAAGAGTCTAGATTATAATAAATCAAATGCTACGAAATCTAGAATTTGTAAAATAATTATTACAATAAAATACAGTATCAAGCTATAAATTAAATGTGTTCCTAAAGTTATTAGTGAATTTATTTAAATGTGTGAACTCACAATTCATATAAAGTTCTTCTGTATAACTCTAGCTTTCTTTTAAAAAAATATGTTAATTCAAATAATCACGTCTTAATTCATTAGGTTTTGAAATACCGATTCTTTATATATTGGTAAAAGGTTTTACCTTCAATTTTGTAATAAGCCATAGTAGAAAGAACACCATGGAATAGTTAGGAGTCTTGGTGTGGCGCTGTGGGCTAATGTGTCAGATTGCAAAGTCAGTGAACTGCAAGGTCGGTGGTTCAAGTTCACCAACTGCTCCTTGGAAACCCTATACAGGGCTGCTATGGGTTAGAATCAACTCAACAGCACTTAACAACAACAACATATGATCAACAGCGTGTGGTACTGAAGAAAAAAATCCAATCTTCATGGAAGTCATTGGCAAAGACAAGGTTCCATGAATTGATGGGATACAAATTGAAATCTTTCAGCAAATTGAGGCAGCACTGGTGTCATTCACTCAACTATGCCAAGAAATTTGGGAGACAGTTACCTGGTTAAATGATTGGAAGAGATCCATATATCTGTGCCCATTCCAAAGAGAGGTGACCCAACAGATTGGGGAAATCATTCGACAATATCATTAATATCACATGCAAGTAAAATTATACTCAAGATGATTAAAAAATGGCTGCAACAGTACATTGACAGGATATTGCCAGATGTTCAAGCTGGACTCAGGAGGCTTGAGGATGTGGAACGAAGGTTATTGCTGACACCAGATGAATTTTGGCTGAAAGCCGAGAATACCAGAAAGATGTTTACCTGTGCTTTACTGACTATGCAATAAAGCTATGGACTATATTGAGGCGTGTGAGTATTCCAGAACACTTCACTGTGTTCCTGAGGAGTTTGTAGACCAAGAGGCAGTTGCTTGAACAGAACAAGGGGACACTGAATGGCTTAAAATCAGGAAAGGTGTGCACCAGGGTTGTATTCTTTCACCATACTTATTCAATCTGTATACTAAGCAAAAAATCCTAGAAGCTGGATTACATAAAGAAGAATGTGGCATCAGGTTTTTAGAAGAACACTTATTAATATCCTTTGATATGCAGATGACTTGCTCACTGAAAACAAAAAGGTATTAAAATATTTACTGATGAAGAGAAAAGACCATGGTCTTCAGTATGGGTTGCACCTCAATGTAAAGAAAACAGCAATCCTCACCACTGGAGCTTGGATTCACCATCAACATTCATGGAAACAGCAGTCAAGAAAGCAAAGGATGTATTGCATGAATTAGGCAAATCTGCACAAGACCTATGTACAGTGTTCAAAAGCAAAGATATGCCTGACCCAAGGTATGGTATTTTCAATAGTCTTATATGCATGTGAAAGTTGGACAGTGAATAAGAAAGACTGTAGAACAATTGATGGTATTTGAGTTATGTTGTTGGAGAAGAATATTAAAAGTACCATATACTGCTAGCAGTACAAGCAAATCTGTGTTGGGATAAGTACAATCAGAATGCTCCTTGGAAACCAGGATGGCAAGACATTGCCTTTCACACTTCAGACATATCAGGAGGGACCAGGCCTTGGAGAATATCATGGTATGTAAATGGAAGGTCAGTGAAAAAGAGTGGCAGTGGTGGTTATGTGCCGTGGAGTCTGAACCAACTCACAGCAACCCTATACAGGGTTTCCGAGGCTGTAAATCTTTATGGGAGCAGAAAGCCTCATCTTTTACCGTGGAACAGCTGGTAGTTTCGAACTGCTGACCTTAAGGTTCACAGCCTGATTTGTAACCACTACGCTACCAGTGCTCCTTCAGCGAAAAAGAGTAAAGCCCCAATAAGAACAACTGACACAATGGACGCAACAATGGGCTCAAGCTTAAAAACTACTGTGAGCATGGCGTGGGACTGGGCACTGTTTTATTCTGTTGTACATGAGTCAGAATCGACTCAACAGCACCTAACAACAACTCTTGAGGGAGCAAGATGAAGCTGTCTACTCCCATAAAGCTAAGATTGACAGCCTTGGTAACCCCAAGCATTGGTTCTACTCTGTCGTATAGGGTTATAATGAACTGGAATTGACTTCATGTCAGTGGGTTTGATTTTGGTTGTTGTTGTTGTTGTGTGCCGTGAAGTCAGTTCCGACTCATATCGACCCTGCACAGGGTTTCCGAGGCTGTAAATCTTTACAGGAGCAGAAAGCCCTATCTTTCTCCTGAGGAACAGCTGGTAGTTTCGAACTGCTGACCTTGCGGTTCACAGCCTGATTCATAACCACTAAAAAAGAGCCCTAGTGTGCAGTTGTTAAGTGCTTGACCACTAATTGAAAGAAGGAAGAAGTGGTAGTAGCTTCTGTGATGATAATAGCCTTGGAAACTTACTGCTGATGTTGTTAAGTGCTGTTGAGTCAATTCAGATTCATAGTCAACCTGTATAGGGATTCTGAGGAGCATCTGGTGGATTTGAACCACCGACTTTGTGGTTCAAGCCAACATCGCAGTTGCGTGCTTATCCTATAGTGCCACAGCAGAGCATATTGTTGTTGTTGTTAAATGCCGTCAAGTTGACTCTGAACCACAGCGACCCTGTATAGGGTTTCCAAGGTGCAGCTGGTGAACTTGAACCACCGACCTTGCAATTCAAACTGACTTTGCAGTCGGACACATTAGCCCACAGCGCCACACCAGGACTCCGTATAGGGCAGTTCTATTTTGTCCTTTAGAGTTTCTATGCATTGGGATTTGACTTGATGGTGTAGGATTTCTTTGTCTTTGAGAAACCAAGTTATATTAAGCAAAATTAAAAATATAAGATTAGAGTGGTAGGTTTGGGTGAAAGGTGATGATGAATTTGCTTTATTTCTTTTGAGCTAGAGTTGTACTCAGGTGGTGAGGCTCACAGGTTATTTCTTATGGCATTCAGGAAAGAATTTGAGGCTATAGATAATGGTTAGAAATCATTTATATGATTTCCAGGGAACAGTTGGGGAGTTTACTTGCAGGCCAATGCTTTATCCCACAATGCCAAACCAGGACTCTGACCTGTTGTTGCTGTTAAGTGCCATCGAATTGGTTCCAACCCATAGCTACCTTTTATAGGGTTTCCAAGGAGCAGCTGTTGGGTTTGAACTGCCAACCTTGCAGCTCAAATTGACCTTGCAGTGTATGCAGCACATTATACTGCAGCACCACACCAGGACTCAGACCTGAAGAATATCCAACTTGAACTTAAAGACCATATCAAGAATACAAGTGACACACAGAATACTAGTGACTAAAGACCACATAAGTTGTGGGATAACATCAAGTATTATAATGAAATATGCAAACACCTGGAGTTATAAAAGCAAAAAGAATATGCTCAGCATTTCTCAAGGTAAAAGAATTGAAGCAAAACGTCAAGCCTTTACTTGTAATACTGAAGGATTTGATGGAAAAGATATTGGATGATACAGGAAGCATCAAAAACAGATGGAAAGAATATACAGAATCACTACCAAAAAGAATTGGCCAATGTTCAACAATTTCAGGAGAACCAAAAGTCTTATGGAACTTTACTAATCATGCTATAATTCTGATGTTTTTATAAGAATGGAAATTAAACTTAAAAAAAAAAAGCATATTCCACATTATAACAAACCTTACTAACTATATTATTATATTCTATAGAAGACTTACAGCCTCAGTAACCCTGCACAGGGTTACTATGAGTCGGAACCGACTCCACGGCACACAAAAACAACAACAGAAGAGAACAAAGAAGAATGTCAATGCAAATTCACAAATATTTTCTCATATGCCAGTTTGTGAAAATATTTTATGTAATCACTTAAAATAATGACTTTTTAAAGTTTACATAATACCTAATGATATAATAGTGACAGCCTCATTAATAACCTGGCAATGCAACCTTAAAAAAAAGTTAACATTGTTATATAGCAGTAATCCAGTTTTCTTTTTTATTTCTAAATTATTTTATTCTCTGCCCAAATAAGCGTTTTTTAGAAGAAATCTCAAATTTGACAAAAATTTTTCTTCAATTCCTTAATAAGAAATCATAAAAATATAAGTATTTTCATAATAATAGATATTCCAAGAAATTATTTGAAGAGAAAAAGACTAAAAGTATTGGTGAATCACTTAATTAATTCCTTAAATTTCATAGGTATTCAAGAGCCTTACATACCTCCCTATTCCATCATATCAAAATGAAAAACAATTATTACAATCCACTCCAAGTCATATATGACAAATGACCAAATTTAAATTAAAATAAAAGCATTCTGCATTGTTCTTATACACTTCCATGACACTTTTGAACTCACTTGGGTAAATATGGATCTTTCCAACAGCAGCAGCACTTTCTACAAAGTTATTTACCTTGTCCAGGTCTTGCAGTTACAGCTGCTCCAGCAGGTGGCGGCTCATACTCCTGTCAATTACAATAATGTTATTAATGTGACCTATTACAATGTGCAACATATAAGAAACAGTAAGGATATCAGAACCTTACCTTTGCTTTCTTTGAGTCTGGATCAAATCTTTCAAGGATTAATTTAGCCGTCTTATAAGTTTCTTTTTCCATAACTTCTTCAAGCTACAAACAAGATTTCCATAAATTGTCACATTTTAAAACACGCACAGTACTTATTTTTATAAGTCTTATTCAAAAATTAAGTACAAGGCTTAAAATAAACAGTACATAATATACCCAGATAGAATTAAAGACTTCCTACATTTAAATCATTAAAATCCAGATTTTAGAATGACTTCTAAGCTATAATACGTTACTTATATTTAACAGCTTTTAGGAAAGGAAATACCAAATATTGCTAATTGTTTACATATAATGAGGAGAATAATTACATGCACCAACTTCAATAATGGAATGTGCAAAAATCTATCAGCTATCATTATTGGAAGTTATTAGACATGACAAGCAAATGACAGGCAATTCCTCAGATTTATTTCCTCATAGCACTTAATGCTATTAATTTAAAGAAGGTCGTTAGCCAAGAGCTTTACAAAATAAAATCTCTGTGCCAATTAACTGCTGTCAGCATCGATTTTAGATTATTTATTAGCAGAAGCAATTAGCTTGCTGCAGATGCAGTGAAAACTCACTAGCTGGGAAAACAGCCATGGAATTTGCTCAAATGACTTTAAAACCTAAAGCTCCTCCTTTTATACTTAGCTTCAACTTTGGCGGAGAAAAACAGAACATATTAAGAATTTAAGTAAAAATTTTACTGAGTTCTATGCTCACACTAGAGAATGTAATTAAACACTTCATTATTACAACATTTATTTACAATGCATTCAAGTCACTTTATAGCTTAATACATGGGTTTAATTTTTAAAGTAATCACTAGTAAAGTATCACTTTGCTGTAATAATACAACATCGAAAAACTTTAACGTTAGTACAATACAGACATAGTTGTAATAAATAGCTAATGTGCAATGTAAATAAAATCCTTTTGAAAAAATTAGAAAAAGATCTTTTCTTCTCAGGGACCACTGATAGCCACTTAAATGTCATACTTATTCCAAATGGCATTTATTTTTAAGTATAACCCAAAGCACATTTGTTGTTGTTGTTAGGTACCATCGAGTCAGTACCAGCCCATAGTGACCTTATGCACAGCAGAATGAAACACTGCCCAATCCTGGGCCAACCTCACTACTGTTGCCACGCTTGCTGCCACTTGGCCAATCCGTCTCATTGGGGGTCTTCCTCTTTTCCTCTGACCCTCCACCTTATCAAACATGATATCCTCCAATGACTGGTCCCTCCTGACAATATGTCCGAAGTATGAGAGACCAAGTTTGCCCATCTTGGCCTCCAAGGAGCACTCTGGTTGCACTTCTTCCAAAACATATCTATTGGTTCATTTGGCAGCCCATGGCACTTTCAAGACTCTCCTCCAACACCATTAACTCAAAAGCATCAATTCTTCTACAGTCTTCCTAATTCACTGTCCAACTTTCACATGCATATGAGGTTACTGAAAATACCATAGCTTGGGTCAGGCACACCTTAGTCCTCAAGCTGACATCTTTGCTCTTCAACACTTTAAAAGGGTCTTGTGCAGCAGATTTGCCTAATGCAATACGTCATTAGATTTCATGACTGCTGCTTCCGTGAATGTTTATAGTTGATCCAAAATGAATGAAGTACTGGACAACTTCAACCTTTTCTCTGTTAAGAATGCTGTTTATTGGTCCAGTGGTGAGAATTTTTGTTTTCTTTACATTGAGATTCAATCCATAACGAAAGCTGTGCTCTTTGATCTTCATCAGTAAATATTTTAAGTCCTCTTCAATTTCAGCAAGCAAGGTTGTATCATCTGCATATCACAGGTTGTTAATGAGTCTTCCTCCAATCCTGATGTCACAATTTTCTTCATATAACCCAGCTTCTCAGATATGTGCTCAGCATACAGCTTGAATAAGTATGGTCAAAGAATACAACCTGGCCACACCTTTTTTAATTTTAAAACATTCAGTGTTTCCATGCTCTGTTCCAACAACTGCTTCTTGATCCATGTACAGATTCCTCATGGCCACAATTAAGTGTTCCGGAATACTCATACTTCGCAATGTTGTCCATAGCTTATCATGATCCACACAATCAGAAGCTTTTGCGTAGTCAATAAAGTACAGGTAAACATCTTTCTGATATTCTCTGATTTCAGCCAAGAGCCATTGGGCATCAGCAATGACATCCCTCATTCCATGGCCTCTTCTGAATCCGGCCTGAACCTCTGGAAGTTCTCTGTCAGTGTATGCTTGTAGCCATTTCTGTATTACCTTTAGCAAAACTACACTCACATGGGATATCAAAGAGATTGTCTGATGATTTCCACAGTCTGTTGGGTCATCTCTCTTTGGAATGGGCACAAATATGGATCTCTTCAATCAGTCGGCCAGATAGCTGTCTTCCAAATTTCTTGGCAGATGAGTGAGTGCCTCCTGTGCCACCTCACTTTCTTGAAAGATTTCAATTTTTATTCCATCAATTCCTGGTGCTTTGTTCTTTGCCAATTCCTTCAATGCACCTTGGACTTCTTCAGTATCATTGGCTCTTGATCATATGCTACCTCTTGAAACAGCTGAACATCAACCATTTCCTTTTGGTACAGTGACTCTGTGTATTCCTTCTATCTTCTTTTGATGCTTTCTGCATCATTCAATAATTTGCCCAGAGAATCCTTCAATAACGAAAGTCAAAGTTTTCAGTGACTAAATATTCTGAAGTAGTTCGTCACTCTTTCTTACTAGTCTGCTTCATCTTGAAGCTCAGCTGAAACCTGTCCACCATGGGTGACCCTGCTGGTGATTTAAAATACCGGTTCCATAGCTTTCAGAATCACAGCAACTCATAAGCCACCACAGTAGACAAACTGACAGACAAGTGGTGGCTGTTTGATTTTAAGTGGAAACTGTCAGTTTAAATTTTGAGATCTATGTGCATGCGTTGTAGAACCCTCCAAGGGTGGGAATGGGGTGTCCATTCGCTCAGGCATCCCCTCTAGTCACCAGAATGGAGGTGCGCAGACAGCGAGAGACCAATGAACAGATACCAAAAAAAGAATGTCCACACATTTATCTCTGCGGTTCTGTCAGGTGGTTAAAAATATAGTTTAAAATATGCTGCCACAATACCAATTAGTAGATTTCTTGTTCAACACTCAATTCAACATTTTAAGAATCTAAGGGCTTACTTAGATGAATGATTCATTAACTTGGTTTGTTATTATTGTTGTCATTGTGTGCCATCCAGGCAATTCCAACTCTTAGCAACCTTCTATGGGGTTTGAGAGAGGGACTGATTGGTTTGAACTGCCAACCTTCCGATTTTACCAGTCCAGTGCATGTTGTCATTTCTAAATGCCAAGTCAGTTCTGATTCATAGCAACTCTGCATACAGTTTCTAAGAAGTGGCTGGTAGACTTGAACCATCGACACTTTGGTTAGCAGTTCAGTGCTTATACAGCATCATACCAGTACCCTGGTTATTTCAAAATTATGATAAAATTATCAATTATTTTCCAATGTAAAGGAAATATTTGTGATATCACTTTATAATTACAGGGGTAGGGTGTGGATTGGGAATAGGGGTACAGAAAGGATGTGACAGAATACATTTCCAAAACAATAAAATATATATAGAATATCAACTACAAAGAACTAAAATTCTGAATCTCTAAAAGTTAGATTTTTTTTTTTTTTTATGTTCTTAGAAAGTGTTCTGCAATAGAATGTTCCATAATAATAGAAATGGTCTATATCCATGCAATACAACAGCTACTAAACTGTGGGTTGAGAAACTGAATTTTTTCATTTTATTTCATCCTAAATAATGTATATTGAAAAAGACACACATGTCTAGTAGCAACTGATTTGGACAGCATAGTTCTGTTGTTAAATTGTTAAGTTTCACTGAATCAGTTCCAACTCATAGCAACCCTGTATACAACAGAACAAAACACTGCCCAGTCCTGTGCCATCCTCACAATTGCTGCTATGCTTGAGCCAATTGTTGCTGCCACTGTGCCAAGCCATCGTGTTCAGAGTTTCCCTCTTTTTCATTGTCCCACCATTTTACCAAGCATGGTTAAAAGAAGGCTCGAGGGTTTGGTCCTCCTGATGTCAGAAGTGTGAGAAACAAAGCATGACCATCTTGATGTCTAAAGAGCATTCTGTTGTACTTCTTTCAACACAGATTTGTTTGTTATTCTTAAAATCCATGGTACATTTGATATTCTTTCCCAACACCATAACTTAAAAGCATTAAGTCTTCTATCGCCTTCCTTACTCACGTCCAACTTTCGCATGCATATATCAGGTTACTAAAAATACTATGGCTTGAACCAGGCGCACCTTAGTCCTCAAACTGACATCTTTGCTCTTGAACACTTTAAAGAGGTCTTGTGCAGATGATCTGCCTAATGCAAATATGTCATTGATTTCTTGACTGCTGCTACCATGGGTGTTGCTGGATCCAAGAAATATGAAATCTTTAACAACTTTAATTTATCTTTTCTCCATCATGATGTTATTTATTGGTCCAGTGGTAAGGATTTTTTAAATTGAAGTGCAACCCATGCTGAAAGTCTGTGATCTTCATAAGTAAGAATTTTAAGTTCTCTTCACTTTCAGCAAGCAAGGGTATATCATTTGCATATCACAGGCTGTAAATGAGCCTTCCACCAATCCTGAGGTCATGTTGTTCTTCATATATAATCCAACTTCTCACATTATTTTTTCAGCATACAGACTGAATAAATATGCTGGCAGAATACAACCCTGGCACAAACCTTTCCTGATTTTAAACCACTCAATGGCCCCTTATTCTGATCAAATGACTGCCTCTTGGCATGCATTTCCTCATGAGCACATTAAGTGTTCTGGAATACTCATTCTCTGCAATGTGGTCCATAGCTTGTCATGATCCATATAGTCAAAAGTATTTGCACAGTTACTGAAGCATAGGTAAACATCTTTCTGTTAAATCCTGCTTTCAACCAAGATCCACTTGATGTTAGCGATGATATACCTCGTTTCACATCCTCGTGTGGATCCAGCATGAACC